AATTCAGCGAGCAGCATCCACCCGCCTTTGAAAAAAGGGAAGAAGGAAGGGGGGAAAAAATCAGCTGTTCTGACACAACTAACCTGAGGCGAAAGCGGGGAGAGAAGCGGGCCAGAAACGTCCACTGTCGTTGCATTCACTAGGCCGTTCTCTGACTTTCCCTTCGGCTATTTTTGCATGCCGTGTTCGGGTACTATTTAGGCGGTCTCTTTGTATGTGGAGCACACAGAAGGGCAACCACTGTGATCAAGGGGCTAGAAATGGTGGATTTTTTTGTGTGGGGAGAGGACAGCGAAGTGGGTATGATTATGGTGTTAATATACTTACGTATGGAAGATTATTTTTCTTTGTTTTTCACTGCATCGAAAAAAGAGAGGAGCTAACAAGAGAATCTACAAAGGACAGGTTGAAGAAGATATGGACAAAGGTTTGTGTACGAGGGTGGGTCAAAAAGTAGTAGTAATAATAATAATAATAACCTTTATTTATACCCCGCCACCATCCCCCCAAGGAGATGATGCATGCCATTACTTCTCAAGCAGGGAGCTTTGAGATGGTAGAACAGAAGCTCTCCAAAGCTCTAGGTGCTCTTACTGCCTATTACAGGGGAAACCAGCTGATCCCTAATCCATCTAAAACACAGACATGTGCTTTTCACCTCAAGAACAGACAAGCATCCCGAGTTCTGAGGATTACCTGGGAAGGAATCCGACTGGAGCATTGCAGCGCACCCAAAGACCTGGGGACTCAGAGCGGTTTCCAAGTGTTCCTAGTTCCACAAAAGTCTTCATTGACACTGAAATACAACACCGCCTGAGCTCTGCAAGTGCAGCATTTTTCCAAATGAAGCAGAGAGTGTTTGAGGACCGGGATATCCGTAGGGATACCAAAGTGCTTGTTCATAAAGCTATTGTCCTCCCAACCCTGCTATATGCCTGCGAAACGTGGACTGTCTACAAACATCACATCCAACTCCTAGAACGATTCCATCAGCGCTGTCTCCGGAAAATCCTGCAAATGTCTTGGGAAGACAGGCGGACAAATGTCAGCGTGCTGAAAGAAGCAAAGACCACCAACATTGAAGCGATGGTCCTCTACCATCAACTCCGCTGGTCTGGCCATGTTGTCTGGATGCCTGACCACCGTCTCCCAAAGCAGTTGCTCTACTCTGAACTCAAGAATGGAAAACAGAATGTTGGTGGACAGGAAAATAGATTGAAAGATGGGCTCAAAGCCAACCTTAAAAACTCTGGCATAGACACTGAGAACTGGGAAGACCTGGCCCTTGAGCGCTCTAGCTGGAGGTCAGCTGTGGTCAGCAGTGCTGCAGAATTTGAAGAGGCACAAATGGAGGGTGAAAGAGAGAAACGTGCCAGGAGGAAGGCGCGTCAAGCCAACCCCGACCGGGACCGCCTTCCACCTGGAAACCAATGCCCTCACTGCAGAAGAAGATGCAGATCAAGAATAGGGCTCCATAGCCACCTATCGACCCACAAGAATTCTGATCCTGGAAGACTATCCTACTCGGCCAACGAGGGGTCGCCTAAGTAAGTAAGGTGGCGTCAGGCCTGCGGTGCGACAAGAATGCTCTTAAGTTGGAGCGCTCTGAAGTCAAAGTTCCACTGTACTTACTCATGTATAAGTTAACCCAGGTTTTCCTGAACTTATACACAAGTCAGTACAATTCATTGATTGCTAGGGAAATGAAGGGAAGCTAAGGCCGATAGCGGGACAGGTTATCCCACTTTGAGGAGCTGCCTATACTGACCAAATCATTGGTGTGAATTTGTAACAACAACCATAAAAATCCCTTTCCCAATGTGTGCCCAATACTTGCTTAGTTCCTCTTTCTCGTTGCTAACTCCCTCTTGGCTTCCTGCTTCTGGCTTTGGTGCCAGCCTTCTCCCTCGCCCTCCCATTCTTGGCATGTAATCTGATGACAGAAGAGTTTGTTTGTGTTGTGTGTACCTCATTTGTCTCTCTTCAACATATCATCACGGGAACAGGTTGGTGACACCGGACTGCATCCCAGGCTGTGCTGCACGGGAGATAAACGTTGCTTTTTTTAATCAAGATAAATAATAATAATTTCTGCTCTGACATGTTTTAAGTACTTTCCTACCTGAGATTGGGATTCTACCTCTAGTTTGCTCTAACCTGCTAAATTTAAACTTGAGAGAACACCTCTTTAGGAATCTCTAGCTGAGCCGCTTTGAGTCTCCTTGTGGAGAGAAAATGTGGTATAATAATAATAATAATAATAATAATAATAATAATAATAATAATAATAATAATAATAATAATGGTTCATTGATGGTTTAGAGAGAACAGTGGGATTTTCTTTGAGATTTCCTGGAGCACAAAGTGATGAAAATTCAAGTCAGAGGAATGGTGTTTCTCTCTGGGATAAACCTGACTCAGAAAGTACAAGGCTCCGAGATCAGTCAGAGGAGCCAGAAATTGCAAGATTGGATAAGGAGTCGGGTAAAGAGCTAAGTGATACAGAAGGCTCCTAGGAAAAAACACCTGGAGCTACGGAGGTCAACAAAAGTCTTTGTTTACATATTAGAGCAGAAAATAGGCATCTCCGGTCAAAGCGTTTACGTGGGAAAGTTGAGGAGAGAATTTGCGGGGAAAGAAATGACTTCATGGGTGCCTATTAATTAGCAAATTCTCACCTCAACTTTCCCACGTAAATGCTCTGACCGGAGATGCCTATTTTCTGCTCTAATCTGTAAACAAAGACTTTTGTTGATCTCCGTAGCTCCAGGTGTTTTCCCCAGGAACCTTCTGTATCACTTAGCTCTTTACTCGATTCCTTATCCGATCTTGCAGTTTCTGGCTCCTCTGACTGATCTCGGAGTTTTGTACTTTCTGAGTCAGGTTTACCTAAGAGTTGGTTCAGGCAACGTAGCGTTCAAGGGAGAAGCTAGGCCTGAGTTCTCTAGTTCTTGTTCCAAGTCAAACCTTGGTTTTGGATTCAAGTATCCTGGTAACTTTCTGTGTTCTTGTTTTTTCAGCCTTGCTCAAGTTTTACGAGTTTTGCTTGTGGACTTATGCTGTCCTTGTGACTTTCTGGCTATTCCTGGACTATATTACCTTGGGATTTGCATGAGACATTTGAATTACTGCCTGGTTATCGCCTATTGCCAGCCCTTTCTTGGATTTTACATCTTCTTTCCTTATTCTTGATTTTTCATATATTTAAAGTGTTTTTATAATAAACTATTTGCTTACACTCTGGACTTTTGTGCAGTGCTGTGGTCATAGGGGATTCCAGGCTTGGGTGCAAAACAGCAGCTGCCAATGATTGACCATAGAGATTCCTATAGACACCATACCATTTTTTTTGTCTCTCACAATTGTTAAAGTCTATCAGAAACACCCAGGTTTGTACACGTTTTTGCACAACCTTCACCCTGATTGCAGAATTGGCCTTATCCACTCTTTGTGTCTACATGTATGTACGTATTTATGTATGGCACATTGCTCTGTGCGTGTCTTTCTCTGATGCTTTGAAGCCACCTCCCTGAGAAAGAGTCCTCTCGATCCTTTTTGGGTTTTGTTCTCTCCTGGCTTCTCTTCCCGGTTGCCCCATTTTTCCCTTCTGCGTCTGGATATTTTTAGATTGCTTTGTATATCTGTTTCTCCTCTCTTTTCCCCCTCCTTCCCCAGATTTGCTTTTCTGTCTGTAGCATGGAAACTGGCATTTTTCTCAGTTTGCTCACTTTTTTCCCCCTGCATTGCTCCCCTCCCTTGGACTGTTTTGTCTGCCTTGCCATCCCTCCATCTGTTTTCCCTTCCAGTGGCTTCTTTGTGCCTCCTTGTTCGTTTCCTTATTCCGTCGTCGTGCTTCCCGTTACCTATTTCTACATAAAGGTTATAAGGACAGAATGAGTTACCTCTACAAACATATATTAGGGGGGCATTTGGGGATTGAGAATACTACTATAATGTATATTGTTAAAACTTGGCATTCTGCTAAATTTCCTTTGATCAGAAGCTGGCCACTTGGAGTGCCTCTGGTGTCGCTGTAAGAAGGTCCTTCATTGTGCATGTGGCACAGCTTTTGCTCTTCTACACACTCACATGTCATGGACTTCACTTTGCAGCCCCTCAAACACTGTCTGCTTAATTCGGAAGAATGCTGCGCTCACAGAGCTCAGGCGGTGTTGTATTTCAGTGTCGATGTTGACTTTTGTGTAGAGGTGGCTGCCAAGGTAGCAGAAATGGTCCTTCTTTGTGCATGTGGTGGSGCTTTTGCTCTTCTCCACATTCGCATGTCGTGGACTCCACTTTGCAGCCCCTCAAACACTCTCTGCRTCATTCGGAAGAATGCTGCACTCGCAGAGCTCAGGCAGTGTTGTAATTCAGTGTCGATGTTGACTTTTGTGTAGAGGTGGCTGGCAAGGTAACAGAAATGTTCCTTCATTGTGCACGTAATGGGGCTTTTGCTCTCCACACTCGCATGTCGTGGACTCCACTTTGCAGCCCCTTAAACACTCTCTGCTTCATTCGGAAGAATGCTGCACTCACAGAGCTCAGGCGGTGTTGTATTTCAGTGTTGATGTTGACTTTTGTGTAGAGGTGGCTGGCAAGGTAACAGAAATGGTCCTTCCCGGTGGGAAGCTTCTCATGAACAAGGCGCAGTATCATAGTGATGAGAATGGAGAATAAGGCTGTTACTGTTTGACACCTGATTCTGCCTTAAATGGGTCACTTTGGGAGCCATTGCTGTCCAAGACTGTTGCAAAAACATTTAGAGTGTCTTGTAGATCTTTTTTCTGAATGAGCACTTACCACACTATCATCAGCATATAGAACTCTCCCTCATAGATTAAGTGGGCCTCTAGGTTTGCGTGCGCAACAAATGGTGTGTTTATGGAGTATCCATGTTTCTCTCTTCCTCCCTTTTGACGCTGCTCGTCCCTGCCATTGTTCCTCCTTTGCCTCCCGCCGTCCGTGGCTGATGAGGATTTTGCTCTCTTTTCCCTCCGCAGGACGGAGCTCGCCCTGAAAGGCACCATGTCGATTGGCGGCGTGGAGGATGACATCCCGCAGGGAGAGAGGAAGACCGTCACGGACTTTTGTTACCTGCTGGATAAATCCAAACAGCTTTTCAACGGCTTGAGGTCAGCAGGGGGTTGAGGGAGGGGAGGAGGCTTCTACAATGGGCAAAGCGGAAGAACTGTACGATTCTCTGCTTGAGCAAAGCTCAGAAGAGTCGGAAATCTGTCACTTTCTGCCTTAAAGTGGGCAATTTCTCCTCCTCTCCGGTTTTGGATAATTCCAATCATGGACGGGATCAAATGCGAGAGTCTTGGTGTGGAGTTTGCATGTCTTTTTACACCCTCATTCCGACAAAATGTGCACAGTCGTGATAACAGGCAAGAAGGATTTGAGATGATAAGGAGAGATGGAAAGAAGGGTATCTAGATACACTGAAGGGACTGAGATAAACCCCAATTGGCCTGTAGTTTTAAAAAAAGAGCCTTCAAGAGATTATGTCTTTTGGAATGTAGTTTTTAATCATCGAACGAGGCTGTTCTGCTTATAATTCTAAGGTAGAAACATGGCGTATTGGCCTTGACTTTGACCTGAAGTTCTACTTCGACACAGCGCCCAAAAAGTGCCAAACCGTGGAATAGAAATCTCTTTTGTTTTAAAAAATTCTTCTTCTTCTTCTTCTTCTTCTTCTTCTTCTTCTTCTTCTTCTTCTTATTATTATTATTATTATTATTATTATTAGAAACACAACAAAATGAGTCCACAGCAGACAAGATCACTCTCTGGGTGTTGGATTGGATCACACGTCGGACCCTTCCCAAGTGTCTAGGACTGTGTGATATTATTATTATTATTGTTATTATTATTATTATTTGAAACACAACAAAATGAGTCCACAGCAAACAAGGTCACTCTGCTGGCTGTTGTATTGGATCACACGTCGGACACTTCCCAAGTGTCTAGGACTGTGTGATACTATTATTATTATTATTATTATTATTATTATTATTATTATTATTATTTGAAACACAACAAGATGAGTCCACAGCAAACAAGGTCACTCTGCTGGCTGTTGTATTGGATCACACGTCGGACACTTGTCCAAGTGTCTAAGACTATGTGATACTATTATTATTGTTGTTGTTGTTATTATTATTATTTGAAACACAAAAAGATGAGTCGACAGCAGACAAGATCACTCTCTGGGTGTTGTATTGAAGGAGCGACAGATTTGGACATCATCTGCGTATAGATAACACCTTAGTCCGAAACTCCGGATGATCTCCCCCAGCGGCTTCATGTAGATGTTAAATAACATCAGGGACAGTACTGAGCCCTGAGGGACTCTACAAAACAACGGTTGTGGAGCCGAACAGGTATCACCCAATAACACCTTCTGGGACTGTCCCTCCAGGAAGGACCGGAGCCACTGCAAAGCATTACCTCCAAGTCCCATTTCTGTGAGGCATCCCAGAAGGATACCGTGGTCAACAGTATTGAAGGCCGCTGAGAGGTCCAGCAGAACTAACAGGGACACACACCCCCTGCCTAGCTCCCGGCGTAGATCATCTACTAAGGCGACCAAGGCTGTTTCAGTACCATGTCCCGGCCTAAAGCCAGACTGTGCCGGATCAAGATAATCAGTGTCTACCAAGAACCCCTGGGGTTGCGAAGCCACCACACGTTCCATGACTTTGCCCAAGTAGGGGAGATTGGAAACTGGCCGATAGTTGACGAATTGAGTGGGGTCCAGTAATGGTTTTTAATATTTATCTAATGGGAACCATAAAGAAATCTCTCCTGTTTTGCGATCCATCTGAACATTTTGGACAGAGGGTGATGGGTGAACATATGCTGGGAGGGCTTGGATTGTGTATCCCTGCTTTTTTGGATTGTATTTTTCTGCCTTTTTGGTTTTCCACTTGATAAAGACTTCCTTCTGTTTGGTCTCTTCCAGAGACTTACCTCAGTATGGGCAGAAGCAGTGGCAGTGCTATTTCGGGCGAACCTTCGACGTTTACACCAAGCTCTGGAAGTTCCAGCAGCAGCACCGGTAAGAGCAGACGCAGAGTCAGCCTTAACATTTAAAAGTGTGAAGCAATGGCCTCGGGAAGCATTGGAGCTGTGTGTATGTCTTAGACCCCTGCTCTGCCGTTGTCCTGCTTGACTGCCCAAAACAGTCACTGTTACTCTCTTGGATGTATGGTAGAGCATTTCTTATTATTTTCACTGCCAGTTCCTGAATAATTGAATGTCCACACTCTGTATTGTTGAAGGCTTTCATGGCTTTCATGGCTGGAAGCATTTTCTCCTGACGTTTTGCCTGCATCTCTGGCAGACATCCTCGGAGGTTGTGAGGACCTCACAACCTCTGAGGATGCCTGCCACAAATGCAGGCGAAACATCAGGAGAGGATGTTTCTGGAATATGGCCATACAGCTAGGAAAACACACGGCAATCCAGTGATTCCAGCCATGTTGCTAAACTGCAACAGAGTGCTAGATTTGTTTAGAAAGATGGGGATCTCTACAAAAGATGTCTGTGTTTCTTCCAAATGAACATTCCCAGCATCCCCTTATGGAAAATTACGACGGTTAAACTATGTCCTGAGACTTGAGCCCCTTGGACCTCGTCCCAGCAGGCTGCCTTTTACCCCACTTGAATCCTCAGAGCTCTGGATGCTTGTCTGTTCTTGAGATGAAAAGCACATGTCTGTGTTTTAGATGGATTAGGGATCAGCTGGTTTTCCCTGTAATAGGCACTAAGAGCACCTAGAGCTTCGGAGAGCTTCAGTTCTACCATCTCAAAGCTCCCTGCTTGAGCAGTAATGGCACGATCATCAGCATAGATGAAACTCTCTGTCCCTTCTGGCAGTGGCTGGTCATTTGTGTAGATGTTGAACATGGATGGAGCAAGCATGCTCTCCTGAGGCAGTTCTTCCATTTCTGCCATCTACTTCTCTAGCCCTGGAACTCAACAAAAAGCTCCTGTTTTAGAGCAGGTTTCCTATGAGGCAGGTGAGGTGGTAGTCCTTTGTGATATTATACCTGGGAAGGAATCCCACTGGAGCATTGCAGCGCACCCAAATACCTGGGAGTCACTCTGGACCGTGCTCTGACCTACAAGAAGCACTGCGTGAACATCAAGCAAAAAGTGGGTGCTAGAAACAATATCATACGAAAGCTTACTGGCACAACCTGGGGATCGCAACCAGACACAGTGAAGACATCCACCCTTGCGCTATGCTACTCTGCTGCTGAGTACGCATGCCCAGTGTGGAACACATCTCACCACGCTAAAACAGTGGATGTGGCTCTTAATGAGACATGCTGCATTATCACGAGGTGTCTGCGCCCTACACCACTGGAGAAATTACACTGCTTAGCTGGTATTGCACCACCTGACATCTGCCGGGAAGTAGGAGCCAATAGTCAAAGGACCAAGGCAGTGACATCTCCAGCTCATCCCCTGTTTGGGTATCAGCCAGCACGTCAACGACTTAAATCTAGAAATAGTTTTCTAAGATCTACAGAGAACCTCAATCAATGGCTGATACCGAATGAGAGACTCCCCCCTGGGCACACAGAAGACTGGGCGACTTGGAAGGCGCTGAACAGACTGCACTCTGGCACCACGAGATGCAGAGCCAACCTCAAGAAATGGGGCCACAAAGTGGAATCCACGACATGCGAGTGCAGAGAAGAGCAAACTACTGACCACCTGCTGCAATGCAACCTGAGCCCTGCCACATGCACAATGGAGGACCTCCTTGCGGCAACACCGGAGGCACTCCAAGGGGCCAGCTACTGGTCAAAGGACATTTAATCAACTACCAAACTTGCAAATTTTGTGTTTTGTCTGTTTGTTTGTTTTGTTCTGTTAGAAATGTAATACAATTGACTGGTTGCCCCTGACACAACAAATAAATACCCCACTTGAAGACACTGAGTTTGTGTGTCAGAGGTTTGATATATCTGTGTTTGTATAAAGCATCAGATGTGACCCACTCTTTCTTCTTTTTGTGGCGGACAAAGGCAAGTTTTGGACAATCGGTATGGCCTGAAGCGCTGGCAGATCGGCGAAATTGCCTCCAAGATCGGGCAGCTTTACTACCACTACTAGTAAGTAGCTCTCAAAGAATATTAACGGTTGTCAATCTGGGCAGATTGCTTCCAGTATGAGGAGTCAAACGTGCCTTTCGCTTTGTTGCCAGTCTGACATTTTGGCTTGAGAACTTTCAGTGCTAAATTAAAAGCCCGCGATGACTGGAAGTGAAAATGTGTAGGTGGATGGGTGCCATCTGTGCAAACACTTCTGTAAGAAGCAGTGAAATCGAATGTCAGAAGTGACAGTTATGGCTGTAGCGGGATGGGGGACCCGTACAAAATTCAGTGACTTCCTGGAAGAGGAGGTATGGACATGTTTTTGTAATTGTCTGCCTCTTCCGCAGCCTTCGCACGTCGGAAACCAGCTACCTGAATGAAGCCTTCTCCTTCTACTCCGCCATCCGGCAGCGGTCTTACTACTCTCAAGTCAACAAAGAAGACAGGTCAGGCCATGCCTCAGTCTTGTGAGTTTGAAGTGATGCTGCAAATTTGTGACCTTGTGGCGGGCGGGCGGGCGGGCGGGTGGGAATAAATGTGTTTGGTTCATCCTGTGGCTATTTGTGGGAATCCTTTGGCATTGAAGTGCAGCCGCAGCCTCAGGCAGCTGGTGAGTGGGAGGCGATGGAGCCAAGCCGAGGAAAAAGGAACACATTGGAGACGGGAGAAACTCCTTCCTCAGGGAAAGTCCTATCCTGTCTAGCGAAGCTTTCTAGTCCTTTGTCCTACACCAGAGCAGGAACACCTCTAACCTTAAACACCACACCAGCTTGGTAAAATCAGCAAGCAGTTTATTGAAGATTATATGTTAAAATAGCAAAACCAGTAAAGTTCCAATTTGAGAAATAGTCCATAAGCTTCAAAGGAAAACAAGATTCATAAAAATCCATGAAACTAGGCACTTGAATCCATGCAAGAAGACAGCAGGAAAATCTCATACACGAATCTTGAGCTTGGCAAAAACTTGGTACATGAAACTCAGAGCACTTGAAAGCAAGACCGTGATAAAATAGCAACATTGACTCAACTGAAGCAGCTCTCTCCCATTAATCATTATAAAGCTTTTCGAGATCTCCAAACTTTTTTTTTCATATCAGGAGCAACTTGAGAAAGTGTGAGAGAATTGGCTGTCTGCAGAGACGTTGCCCAGGGGACACCCAGATGTTTGTTTGTTTATTTTTATGTTTTACCATCCTCATGTCCCCGTATGGGGAGCTGGAGCTTACAGAGGGATCTCATCTGTGCTCCCCCTGGATTCAGACATCTGACCTGTTGGTCTTCAGTCCTGCCAGTTGTGACACCGTGGGCTCCATCCCAAAACTTGTTGATCAAGATAATTAAAGTTTGTATGGTCATGATCAGAATGGGGAATAATCACTCGGGATAGGAGAATTATGGGGAGGAGGCAAACTGGCATTATTATTATTATTATTATTATTATTACTATTATTATCATCATCCTGCTTATATCTCGATAAAGATGCAAATTGGATGCATATTGTTCTGTCACGCATTGGGCCTGTAAATAGTTGTCTTTAAAACAGGACGTGAAACCTTTGCCCAACGGGAAGCCAGGGGGCTTCCTCTGAAGTTCTCAGAGGTTTCCACCACAAACAGTCTTTAGATGTCTTGAGAAGTATAACAAAGTCTTTTATTAATGAACAATCAAACAGAAACTTCTCTTGTCTTCAATAAAGTTAAGTAAATGATTCCAAGCTTTTAGGTAACTGGTGAATTCCTAATCTTGCCCACGAAGGACAGGAAACTATCTTCAATAACTTCTTCTTTAAAGGAAAATCCCCTTTTTAACTTCTCCCAGGCTGACTGTAAACTTAAACCTAACTGATGTGGGCACCACTACCGGGTTGAACTGCGTCTCAAAGCACCGAGTGGACCTACCAGCAAGGCCTGTAGTCTCTTCAGCTGGAGTTCTTTGATCTTTAGGGCTGTTTCCCTGGAAAGTCTTTAGAGACTCTTTTCCTTCTGTTTCTGTTGGAATTTCTGTAACCCTGGAAATTCTTAGGAGACTCTTGAAAGTCTTAAGGGTTTAAGCTTTTGTACAGGGGAAGCTTGCACACGTCCTGTACATTAGCTTTCCTTGCTGAGACTAACTAAAAAATGGCTCCCTTCCCTTCCCAATTGCCCTGAGCAAGGGGCGGGACCAAACTTAATGATGATGGACAGGTGGCTTGCCCTATAACTGCAACCAAAGAAGCCACCTATCTGCAGAGTCCCTGAAACTTAGGACTGCAAACAAACATTCAATGCAAAGCAAACAAAATTGGAGCTCCTGGTACAGCTGTACCAGAACACATATGGTACCTTACGATAGGGATAGCCACCAAAGTTGCCATGCTGGTATGTTTGGCTTGAGTAATAGTCTCTGATTGTAATAAATAACAACTTAATATTTTTCAGCAGAAGCCACCATCTTCCTTCCTTTCTTTTCCATCAACTGAATAGCACTTTCTCCATTTTCTCTTTCTTCTTTCTAGGCCTGAATTGGTAGTGAAAAAACTCCGATATTATGCACGGTTCATAGTGGTTTGTCTTTTGCTCAACAAAATGGATGTCGTGAAGGAGCTCGTAAAGGTACGTCGATCTTTATGCTTCAATCCTCAGGTTTGTTTGTTAACTCCACAGGTTAAGCTGAAGATGACTTTTCTCAAGACTGTATTATGAAACTTATGTCAGTCAGGACAAGCACTGTTTGAGTGGCATTCTGTATTTATTTATCATCATCATCATCATCATAGAATCACAGAGTTGGAAGAGACCTCATGGGCCATCCAGTCCAATCCCATTCTGCCAAGAAGCAGGAAAATCACATTCAAAGCACCCCCGACAGATGGCCATACAGCCTCTGTTTAAAAGCCTCCAAAGAAGGAGCCTCCACCACACTCCAGGGCAGAGAGTTCCACTGCTGAATGGCTCTCAAAGTCAGGAAGTTCTTCCTAATGTTCAGATGGAATCTCCTTTGTTGTGGTTTGAAGCCATTGCTCCATTGCGCCCTAGTCTCCAGGGAAGCAGAAAACAAGCTTCCTCCCTCCTCCCTAGGACTTGCTCTCACGTATTTATACATAGCTACCGTGTCTCCTCTCAGCCTTCTCTTCTTCAGGCTAAACATGTCCAGCTCTTTAAGCCGCTCCTCATAGGGCTTGTTCTCCAGATCCTTGATCATCGTCCTCATTTCTATCCCACCTTTCTCCTCATAGATACTCAAGCTAGCTAACAATAACACAATGCAACCTGATAAAAATTGAAAATAAAGCACAGATGTATAAGGGGTACTTTGGTTGTGCTTTTCCTGCATGGCAGGGGGTTGGACTAGATGGTCCATGTGGTCTCTTCCAACTCTATGATCCTATTATTATTTATCGTGTCATCTGCAACTCTATGATCCTATGAAAACAAATACCTACATTAAAAGCCAATTTTGTATAATGGATACAAAAGTTAAAATACTGTGCTGTTAAAATGGAACTGAAGTTAGACTTAAAAGCTAAAAGTCCCCCCAAAAACTCCGCCCATACAATCTATCCCGCCCAGAAATCTATCCCAAATAGATTACTGCAACGCGCTCTACGTGGGGCTGCCTTTGAAGGCGGTTCTGAAACTTCAGCTAACCCAATGGTTGGCAGCCAGACTACTAACTGTGGCGACATACAGGGAACATACCACCCCCCCCCCCCCCCCCCGTTGTGCCAGCTCCACTGGCTGCTGGTCCACCTCTGAGCCCAATTCAAAGTGTTGGTTCTGACCTATAAAGCTCTATACAGTTCTGGCCCAGCTTATTTGTCCGAACACATCGACCCGTACGTCCCACCTTAAAACCTAAGATCATCCGGGGAGGCCCTGCTCTCACTCCCACTCACAAATGTGGCTGGCGGGGATGAGAGACAGGGCCTTCTCGGCGGTGGCCCCCCGCCTATGGAACAGTCCCAACTGAGGTAAGATCAGCCACCTCCCTCCTAGCTTTTCGAAAGAAATTAAAGGCATAGTTTTGGGACCAGGCTTTTGGACAATAGATGCAAGCAGCACTTTAAACGGATGTGACTGGAACGACAATATGGCTGACGAGACTGTTTTATTGTTTTAATGATGGCTTATGTATTGTTAATTGTGTTTTTATGTTTTATTGTGGTTTTAATTACTGTAATTGTTATGTAATGGCTTTGTAACGGGGCCCATTGTAAGCCGTCCTGGGTCCCCTTTCGGGGATTGAGTAGGACGGGATAGAAATGTGATAAATCAATAAATAAATAAACAAACAAACAAATAAATAAATACAAGTCAACCTGAAGTTCGCTTCACTGTTCTCATCCTGTTTGATTTATGTTTCCTGCCAGGAATTGTCAGACGAGATTGAAGACTACACGCACCGCTTCAACACGGAAGACCAAGTGGAATGGAATCTGGTTCTCCAAGAAGTGGCGGCGTTCATTGACGTAAGGATAGAAAGGACGTCTCTGTTTATGTGCCTTTATTTGCCTCTGTTTACCTGCTCTTGTCCTTCCATTCATGAAGAGAGAGTGGGTAGCGCGCATTCATTGCTAGCAGAATGTTCGAAGCATGCGTTGTTATCTAGGGCTCTCATTTGCAGTGTGAATTTCACAGACTATCACTTGTGGGAATGCAGTTACAGGTAAGCAACCTGCATTTCCTTTCTAACAAGGTGTTAGAAAGGCCCAGTTTACCTGTCTGAACGGATTCTCCCTTACAAACCATCAAGGTTGTTAAGAGCTTCTGGAGGGGCCCTGCTCTCGGTCCCACCACCTTCGCAATCGCGTCTGGTGGGGACGAGAGACAGGGCCTTCTCGGTGGTGGCCCCTCGGCTGTGGAACTCTCTCCTGATAGAGATCAGATCTGCCCCCTCCCTCCTGACTTTCAGAAATATGGTAAAATCTTGGCTCTGGAACTTAGCATTCTCAGATTGATGATCGAATCAATAACTGTTGACCTCAAGGCAGATGGTGGTGAATTTGTAATTTACCTTGACGAATTGGCTTTATGTAATTCTTGATCTGTATTTTAATGTGTTTTAATGTATTAATGTTTTAGTTTATTTGTATATTGATTCTCTGTTGTTAGCCGGCCTGAGTCCCTCCTCGGAGGTCGAGAAGACCGGGTTATAAAAGCTCTAAATAAAATAAACAAACAAACAAATAAATAAGGTGTATGTTTAACCCGTACTGTTCTCTTCGGGGCCCTCATTCTCCTGCGGGCTTCCTTTCTTCCCAGGCGGATCCCGTGATGGTCTTGAACGACGACAATACCCTGGTGATCCTCTCCAACCGCCTCTCGGACACGGGGGCTCCGCTGCTGGAGCAGGGCATGATCGTGGGGCAGTTGGCCCTGGCGGACGCCCTGATCATCGGCAACTGCAACAACCAGGTGCTTCTGCCCCCTCATTTTGCCCCCAAATAGTTACATCCCTGTTTGCTGCTCAATCTTTATGGGTTAGCTTTTAAAATCTTCTACCTCCAGCCTTAATCCTGGGTACTAGTCATATATTATGTATGGAAAAGTAATATATGAAACATGTGGCTGGTTTTTTTAATATATATAGTTTGAAATGCTTCCTCCTATAGCTGGAAGGGCTCTCACGATGACCCGAAGTCATTTTAAAAAGTCACAACTGGTTCTCTTGTAGGTGAAGTTCAGCGAACTGACAATCGATATGTTCCGGATGCTTCAGGCTTTGGAGAGGGAACCGATGAACTTGGCTTCGCAAATGAACAAGCCCGGGTTGCAGGCAAGTCTCGTCTTTTATATCTTCCGGTTTAGCTGCTGGCGATGACTTTTTCCTTGGCTCAGAGTCACAGGACTTGGTCCTTCCTTAGAATCTCATGTGGGCTAACATTCACATTCACAGATGACATAGTTTTTTAAAATTTTTATTATTCATTGTTTTTATGTTTAAATGTATTGTAATGTTTCTTTTTGCTTTATCAATGTATGTATTTTAAGGCATCGAATTGTGCCGACTGTGTATGCCGCCCTAAGTTGTCTTCGGGCAGATATGGGCGGGATAGAAATAATGTAAATAAATAAATAACAAATAAATAATTCTGAGAAAGAGCCATCTTCCAGTGAATACTCCCTATCTCCTTTAATAATAATAATAATAATAATAATCATCATCATCATCCAATAAACAGCCAGCAGAGTGATCTTGTTTGCTGTGGACTCATCTTGTTGCATTTCAAATAATAAGAATAAGAATAATAACAATAACAACAACATTATTATTATTATTATTATTATTATTATTATTATTATTATTATTATTTGAAACACAACAAGATGAGTCCACAGTGAACAAGATCACTCTGCTGGCTGTTGTATTGGATCACACGTCCTAGACACTTCCCAAGTGTCTAGGACTGTGTGATGTATTGTTGAATAATATGTGCAGATCCCAGTAAGGGACCATTTTGCAGCTGGCAGATGGTAATCTTGTCAGCGCCGATTGTGTTTAAGTGCAGGCCAAGGTCTTTAGGCACTGCACCCAGTGTGCCGATCAGCACTGGGACCACCTTGACTGGGTTATGCCATTGTCTTTGCAGTTTGATCTTTAAATCCTCATATCGTGTCAGCTTTTCCAGTGGTTTCTCTTCAATTGTTGTTGTTGTTGTTATTATTATTATTATTATTATCTTGTCTTTCTCCCTATTCGTTTGTTTACTGTATTTGTATCCCGCCTTTCTCAGCCTATCGGCAACTCAGCTTTGAGTTAGGTAGTCTGAAATTTTTTGTTCATTCAGACAAAAGAACAAAACAGCTAATTCGGAAAGCCCCTCATTTTCGGAAGCAGCACTCGAAAACTAAAACTGGGCCATACGAACGAAACAAAACAAAACGGATAGCGATTTGATACAAAATGCACAAGAGTAGTGAACCCTGCAAGAGCTGCTTTAGGAACATGTGTTATTTTTCTCTTATACAGGAGACAACTGAGAAGCCGGCAAGAAGGGAGAACCCTCACAAGTACTTGCTCTACAAGCCCACCTTCAGCCAGCTTTATACTTTTCTGGCTGCATCATTTAAGGTTTGTGTAAAAGGGGATTTGGGCTGCAGCTGTATTTAATTGCACTAGAGGACCTTAAGGTTATTTATTTTATTATTTATTTAAAACATTTATATTCTGAGCGCAGCATATACACGGCAAACTTTCAATGCCGGGACACAGATTCAAATACAATACATAAACATTAAAAAACATTTATCAAAATATTAAAATACATCATTTAAACCTAATCATCATCATAATAGCAGCAGAAACAATAACCTTTCCAAGCACAATTCAAAGTGCTGGTCTTGGCCTATAAAGCCCTATACGGCTCTGGCCCAGCTTACTCGTCCGAACGTATCTCCCTCTATAGGGAGATTGTAGTTTAAGATCCACCGGGGAGGCCCTGCTCTCAGTCCCAACGGCCTCGCAAACACCCCTGGTGGGGATGCGGGACAGGGCCTTCTCGGTGGTGACCCCCCGCGTGTGGAATTTGCTCCCCAGCGAGATTAGATCGGCATCCTCCTTCCTTTCCTTTAGGAAAAAACTGAAATCATGGTTTTGGAACCAGGCTTTTGGCTAGCGGGCACAATGGCGCTTTGGACATTGAACTAGACCATATGATGATTGTTATGATAATGGAAATGGCTATCGAACCATCGAGGACTCTAAGATCGTCAGGGGAGGCCCTGCTCTTGGTCCCACCTATGTCTCAAGTACATTTGGCGGGGATGAGAGACAGGGCCTTCTCAGTGGTGGCCCCTCGGCTATGAAACACCTTCCCTAGGGAGATTAGATCTGCTCCCTCCCTCTTAACGTTTCGGAGGCAAGTTAAAACATGGCTGTTCGAGCAAGCGTTTACAAATGCAGAGTAGCTAATATAGGAAATCGATCGATTTGACAATGGAACTGGACAGTGCTTAATAATAAGGAGACGCTAATGATGTTGTTTTTATTGCTTTTGTGGCGTTTTATATTGTTTAATGTTTTAATCTGTATTATGTCTTTATATGTACTGATTTGTTGGAAACCGCCTTGAGTCGCCAATTGGCTGAGAAAAGCGGTATACAAATAGAGTAAATAAGTAAATAATAAATATGATTGTATAATTATTGTTATTGTTTTTAATTCTATTGTGTATTTATGGTTTTTAATTGTTGTTATAGTGTTGCCGGTGTTAGCCGCTCTGAGTCCCCCTTCAGGGGTTGAGAAGGGCGGGGTAGAAACGTTGTAAATAAATAAATAGCCTTGAAGGTTTAGGTGGGGAACCACAATAGGCAAAAGTCAAACTCGACCGTAGATTAAATGTACCTGTGTTATGCTTTGACAAGCAATCCACCTCCTTTTTCCTTCTGACGTCCGTTGACTCCTTTTCCTCCTCCTCCTCCTCCTTCTTCTTCTTCTTCCTGCCGATGTTTCAGGAGCTGCCGGCCAACAGTGTCCTGTTGATCTACCTGTCCGCCACCGGCGTGTTCCCCTCAGGTCGTTCGGATAGTGAAGGTACAAATAAAGGAATGCTCCCTGCCATGACGGGGCTTGAATTCTCTTTATGATCCGCAAACCCAGCCAGAGGTCTCCAAACTCCGAAGGGAGAAGCCAAACTCCGCGGCTCCTTTCCCTCTTCCCTCGATTACGAGTTTGCTTCTCGGTCCGCTTTTGGGCCACGTCTCGATCATCAGAAGCGTTTGTCTCGGTTCTGATGCTTAACTGGTTCAGATTGCAGTCCTCTTTGTGTGGTGAAGGCTCCTACTAGAAAGGCTTGCTGTTAGGAATTGGGGAGGTGAAGTCCAAAACACCTAGAAGGCCTGAGTTTGCCTGTGCCTGCTCTAAAGTATCCCCATTGGCGACAATGGACCGAATCGTACCAAAACAAAAACTGAACTTTGCTCCAAATTCCATATCCAATCTTCCAGACATCAGAATTGAGGGGTAGGGGAGCACTCGAAATTCAAAACAGAACGGATTTCTGCCATTTTGCACAGATCTAGTCCTGACCTTCTTGAGGGCATTTATAGGAATGGCCAATGTTGGTGCTTTCCTCCTTATATACTTGAGGTCAACTTATACATAAGTCTATATGGCAATACAAAAGGAGAGATTTTTCCAAGCTGCACACCTAATTCACTATATAAAGCAGTGGTTCCCAATCTGTGGTCCATGGACCCCCAGTAGTCCGCAAGAACAAAAATATGGTCCATGGCCTCACCATGATTACACCGTTGCAACGAAAGCGACTTATAGTGCCAAGACTTGTTAAATATGGTTTTCTGTGGGCGAGCAGATGGTGATTACTGCATGGCATATGTTCTGTATCAGAAACTAGTGCTGATGTGGTCTATCCAATGCAGTTTTCTGAATCAGTACCCCAAATAACCAAACCAAATCTAAAGTTGACCAAAAACTGATTCGTAAGCTATTAATATTGTAGAGAGGTCCCTGGTCAAAGCAGTTACTGGTCAAAGCAGTCCCTGGTCAAGTGGACCCTGTTCAAAGAGGTCCCTGCTCAAAGTAGACCCTGGTCATGTGGTCCCTGGTCAAGTGGTCCTGCTCATGTGGACCCTGCTCAAAGTGGTCCCTGCTCAAAGTGGTTCCTGCTCAAGTGGACTCTGGTCATGTGGACCCTGGTCAAAGTGATCCCTCGTCAAGTGGTTCCTGGTCAAGTGGCTCCTGCTCAAAGTTGTCCCTGCTCAAGTGGACCCTGCTCAAGTTGTCCCTGGTCAAGTGGACCCTGCCCAAAGTGGTCCCTGGTCAAAGTAGACCCTGGTCATGTGGACTCTGCTCAAAGTAATCCCTAGTCAAGTTGTCCCTGGTCAAGTGGTCCCTGGTCAAATGGACCCTGCCCAAAGTGGTCCTGATCAAAGTGGTCCCTGGTCATGTGAACCCTGCTCAAAGTGGTCCCTGGTCAAAGTGGTCCCTGGTCATGTGGACCCTGCCTAAAGTGGTCCCTGGTCAAAGTGGTCCCTGGTCAAGAGGACCCTACTCAAAGTGGTCCCTGGTCAAGTGGCCCTTGGTCAAAGTGGTGCCTGGTCATGTGAACCTTGCTCAAAGTGGTCCCTGGTCAAAGTGGTCCCTGGTCAAGTGGACCCTTCCCAAAGCGGTCCTTGGTCAAAGAGGCCCTTAGTCTTGTGGACCCCATTCAAAGTGGTCCCTGGCCAAGTGGGTCCTGGTCAAGTGGACCCTGCCCAAAGCGGTCCCTGGTCAAGTGGTCCTTGGTCAAAGTGGACCCTACTCAAAGTGGTCCCTGGCCAAAGTGGTCCCTAGTCACAAAAAGGTTGGGAATCACTGATCCAAAGCAATTACCTGGCCCCCCTTTTCCAAAATGAAAAAAAAAAATGAGTAATTTGTCCATCTGGGCAGATCTATTCTCAAGCTTTCCACTCTAGATTGGGGAAAAGACACTACACAAAGAAGGATCAATAGCCCGGTAAGTATCTGAACCGTACCTCTAGTGTCAGAAACGCTGAACGCTTTTGCGTTCTGGCCCATTTTCAACACAGTTGGGCGCTCGATTGGCCGATCTCAATTTGTGGCTGTGCTTGAAAAGGGCGTTTCTGCTCCCTCTTTTGTTTACCATCATGACAATTCAAGCCCTTGTCATGACTCCGGCGACTTCCTGCCACCTCTGCTTCCTTCCCTACGTTCCTTTTTGTCCTGCTGTGTTCCTTCCCTCTCCCGGAAAAAAATACATATTGAAATTAGCTGAAGTGTGTGATCCCACGTTCGCCCATAACTAAATTGTGTCCCAAGTCGATGTTGTATTCAATTCACTCCATCCACCGAAGACTTGCATTCCTTTATAAAATGCATGCTTGTTTCATCTCCCTCGCACGATCCGTAAACCTTTCCAGAGACATTGGGGAAAACAACAACGTATTTACATGGCGTGTTATTGAAGGCTTTCATGGCCGGAATCACTGGGTTACCATGAGTTTTCTGGGCTGTCTGGTCATTTCCAGAAGCATTCTCTCCTGACATTTCGTCCACATCTATGGCAGGCATCCTCAAAGGTTGTGATGTCTGTTGGAAACTAGGCAAGTGGGGTTTATACCCCTGTGGAATAATGTCCCTGTGGAATAATTGGCTTGATTAGCTCTGAATGGCCTTGCAGCTTCAAAAGCTGGCTGCTTCCAGCCTGGGGGAATCCTTTGTTGGGTGTTTTTTTTTTGTGTCAGGAGTGACTTGAGAAATTGCAAGTTGCTTCTGGTGTGAGAGAATTGGCCATCTGCAATAACATTGCCCAGGCGATGCCTGAATGTTTTGATGTTTATCATCCTTGTGGGAGGCTTCTCTCATGTCCCTGCATGGGGAGCTGGACCTGACAGAAGGAGCTCATCTGCACTCTCTCCAGATTCGAACCTGCAACCTCTCGGTCTTCAGTCCTGTCAGCACAGGGGATTAACCCACTGTACCACCGGGGGCTTCATATTTGAGATAGGAATATATACATATATATATATGTATATGTATATATTTATATTTTATATATATATATATATATATATACACACACACAAACACACAGAGACACACACACGAGGATTGAATGAAAAGTAATGCCTCATATCGACGTATCGGTCTTCAGTCCTGCCGGCACAAGGGTTTAACCCATTGCTCCAACGGGGGTTCCTTGTTGGGAGGTGTTAGCTGGTCCTGATTGTTTCCTGTCTGGAATTCCCCTGTTTTCTGAGTGTTTTTTTTATTTACTGTCCTGATTTTAGAGTTTTTAAATACTGTTAGCCAGATTTTGTTCATTTTCATCGTTTCTGTTGAGATTATCCACATGCTTGTGGATTTCAATCACTTCTCTGTGTAGTCCCCATTGCCCAGACACAAATCAAAGAACACAAAAGGGACTGCAGACTAATCCAACCCGAGAAGTCACAAAAATGCCGTATCACTTTCAAAATCAGACTACACAGAGAAGCTATTAAAATCCACAAGAAACATGTGGATAATCTCAACAGAAAGGAGGAAAGGATGAAAATGAACAAAATCTGGCTCCCAGTATTCAAAAACACTACAATCAGGACAGTAAACAAAGAGCAACACTCAGAAAACAGGGAAATTCCAAATAGGGAACAACCAGGGCCAGCTAACACCTCCCAACCAAGGATTCCTGCAGGCTGGAAGAAGCCAGGCTTTGAAGCTGCAAGGCTATTCAATGCTAAGCAGGCTGACCAATGGCAACATTCACATTCTTTCTCCCCCCCTCCCAAGACATCATTCCACAGATATATAATCCCCACTTGCTTAGTTTCCAACAGACCTCTCAACCTCTGAGGATGCCTGCCATAGATGTGGGTGGAACGTCAGGAACATGGCCAGAGAACCCGGAACATGGCCAGAGAACCCGGAAAACTCACAGCAACTATTTACAGGATATTTTATTATTTTTATAAAAGTGAAATACCTTGAAAGTGGTTGTAGGCCTGCCTCTGGTGTACTTTGGTGCTGAATATTCCCCACTTGGGGTATGTTTTCATTATCTCCTTCTACCTATGCCTGTAAGCCAGATGAGTCTACGGCCGTTGTCAACAACTAGATCGACAAAAACGTCATCTTTTTTGGAAGATTACCGATGTGATTCCCCATTTGTATTGCTTGCGTTGACAGCAACTCTGGAAAGATTTTGTGGGAAAGGATAGATGTCAGTCCTTGAATGTCCTGTTTGATCACAGTGTGTGTTAAGTGTATATATATTGGTCTTTTCTGCATGAAATAAACACAATTCCAGTTACATAAAGGTATAGGTTTCCCCTTGACATTAAGTCTAGTCATGTCCAATTCTGGGGTTGGTGCTCATCTCCATTCCTAAGCCGAAGAGCCGGCGTTGTCCATAGACACCTCCAAGGTCATGTGGCCAGCATGACTGCATGGAGCGCCGTTACCTTCTCGCAGAATTGATCTACTCACATTTGCATGTTTTCGAACTGCTAGCTTGGCAGAAGCTCTGAGCTCACCCCATCCCGTGGATTTGAACCGCCGACCTTCTGGTCAGCAAGTTCTGCAGCTTAGTGGTTTAACCCACTGCACCACTGTGGCCCCCTTCTAGTTACATAGGTCTCTATAAAGACACAGAGATGCCTTTATGGCTCTCAATGAACCATAAATAATAAAATGATAATAAATAATAAATTATCTATATAAATAAAAATGTAATGTTTCTTTGTGGGATTAACATAACTCAAAAATTACTGGATGAATTAACACGAAATTTGGACACTATACCCTTAACAGACCAACGAGTGACCATCACTCATAAAATCCCTCCAYAAAACAGCAGAAGGAACTTAAAAACCCAAAAAAAGCTAAATGATGAAAAGCTAAGTGACAATACAGAAAAAAGGGAAGAGGGAGGGAAGGAAGGAAAGAGAGAAGGAAGGAAGGAAGCAAAGAGCGAAGGAAGGAAGGAAAGAGGTAGAGAAGGAAGAAAGGAGAGAAAGAGAGACAGCAAGAAAGAAGGAATGAGAAAAGGAGAGAAAGAAGTAGGAAAAGAAAAGGGGAAGGAGTGAAGGAAAGAGAAGAGGAAGGAAGGAGAAAAAGAAAAGAAAGGGAGCGAAGGAAGGAGAAAAAGGGAGGGAAGGAAGAAATGAGAGAAAGAGGGAGGAAAAGAAAAAGGGGGGAAGGAAGGAAAGAGGTAGAGAAGGAAAGAAGAAAAGGGAAGGAAGGAAAGAGGGAGGAAAGGAAGGAGGGAAAGAAGGAAAGAAAGAGGGAGGGAAGGTTGGCCACAGCAACGCATAGCGGGTACAGCTAGTAAATAATAAACTCAATCACTGAGTTGGAAGAGACCTAATGGACATCCAATCCAACCCCATTCTGTCAAGAAGCAGGAAAATCACATTCAAATCAKCCCTGACAGATGGCCATCCAGCCTCTGTTTCAAGGCCTCCAAAGAAGGCCTTGAAAGCAGAGAGTTCCACTGCTGAACGGCTCTCACAGTCAGGAAGTTCTTCCTCARGTTCAGGTAGAATCCCCTTTCTTGTAGTTTGAAGCCATTGCTCCATTGCGTCCTAGTTTCCAGGGCAGCAGAAAACAAGCTTGCTCCCTCCTCCCTATGACATCCCCTCACATATTTATACATGGCCCTCATCGAGTCTCCTCTCAGCCTTCTCTTCTGCAGGCTGAACATGCCCAGCTCTTTAAGCTGCTCCTCATAGGGCATGTTCTCCAGAATCTTGATCCTTTTGAGTCACCCTCCTCTAGACACATTCCAGCTTAGAGTCAATATCTCCCTTCAGTTGTGGTGCCCAGAATTGGACACGATATTCCAGATGTGGTCTCACCAAGGCGGAATAGAGGGGTAGCATGCCTTCCCGGGATCTAGACACTATAGAGGCCTAAATCCCATTGGCTTTTTTTTGCCACCGCATCCCATTGTCAGCTCATGTTTAACTTGTCCACGGGGACTCCAAGATCTTTTTCACACGTACTGCTCTCAAAATTCAACAGGAGATTTTGTCCCAACCAGATTTCCACCAAAGCATAGCAGAATTCCATAAATGTGACCCCTTTTCTGGTTTCGTAATGATAGAAAAGCAGAAAACTCCATGAGCAAGAGAGGTTAAAGGAGCTGGACTGAGTCAAATGCACAGCAAGTAACCTCGTCCATTCTGGCCTGTCTCCCTTGTGTTCTGTGTTTGTTTCCTTCGCCGTTCCCACTGTGTAGCTGCGGTTTATTCTGGCTCCGTTTTTTGCCGCCTGCAGGCCCCTATGACTTCGGAGGCGTCCTGACCAACAGCAACCGGGACGTCATCAACGGGGACGGCATCCACAAGCGGAACCAGTCCTACAAGGAGATGCACTGGTGAGTATCACAAGGCCTTTATGGGCATACATAATCTGTAGGATCGTTTAGGATTGCAGAGTCAGAACATTAGGTCCAAAAGTAAAAAAAGAAATACCGTATATACTCGAGTATAAGCCGACCCGAATATAAGCCGTGGCACCTAATTTTACCACAAAAAAACTGAGAAAACGGATTGACTCGAGTATAAGCCTCTACGGATAAATTGCAAAATAAAAATACGTAATCATAATAATAAACAATAATAAAACGTTACTTATACCCCGCTACCATCTCCCCACGGGACTCGGTGCGGCTTACATGAGGCCGAGCCCACAATACATCGGTAATAAAAGCAATAACAACAGTAATACAAAACAATAAAATAAAACTCATAACAGAAGATAAGCAATAAACATTAACAGTAGCACAACGACATTTAAAAACCTATGGCTGGGCCAAATGTAATAATTAAAATTTTAAAAATAATACTGAGCATGAACAGGTGAGATATGACTAGGATAGAGTTTTCGGAGAGGAAAGGACATGCAGACATATTTAAGGACATATTGCTAAGGGTTTTCCTTATTCTGGGAAGGCACACTGGAACAACCACATTTTCAGGCTCCTCCTAAAGATTGCCAGAGTTGGGGCATGCCTGATGACCTTGGAGAGTGAGTTCCAGAGTCGGGGGGCCACCACTGAGAAGGCCCTCTCCCTCGTCCCTACCAATTGCAACTGTGATGGAGGTGGGAGCGTGAGCAGGGCCTCTCCAGATGATCGTAGAGATTGTGTGGGTTCGTACACAGAGATGCGGTCACACAGGTAGGCGGGTCCCAAACCGTTCAGGGCTTTGTAGGTAAGAACCCACACCTTGAATTGGGACCGGAAAATGAACGGCAGCCAGTGGAGCTCCTTAAACAGGAGGGTTGACCGCTCCCTGTAAGGAGCACCAGTTAACAACCTGGCCGCCCGCCTGTTGAACCAATTGAAATTTCCGGGCCGTCTTCAAGGGCAGCCCCACGTAGAGTGCATTACAGTAGTCCAATCTGGAGGTGACTTAAGACATGGACCACCCCAGCCAGATCTGCCTTCACGAGGTACGGTCGCAGTTGGCGCAAAAGTCTTAATTGTGCGAAGGCCCTCCCGGCCACCGCCGACGCCTGAGCCTCAAGTGTAAGTGATGAGTCCAGGAGGACACCCAGACTGCGGACCTGTGACTTCAGGGGGAGTGCAACCCTGTCCAATACAGGTTGCCACCCTATACCCCGATCCGGTTTACGATCGACCAGGAGGACCTCTGTCTTGTCGGGATTGATCTTCAGCTTGTTCGTCCTCATCCAGAGAGCCACAGCGGCCAGGCACACGTCCAGCACCCGAGGGGCTTCCTTGGAGTTAGGTGGAAAAGAGTAGTAGAGTTGCGTGTCATCTGCATAGAGATGGCACCCAACTCCGGATGACCTCTCCCACCGTTTTCATGTAGATGTTAAAGTGCATGGGAGACAGAATGCAACCTTGCGGGACCCCACAGGTCAAATGCCAGGGGTCCGAGCAGGTGTCTCCCAGCTTCACCATCTGGGAATGACAGAACCGTGCCTCCAAAGCCCATCCTGGAGAGTTGTCCTGGAAGGATACCATGATCGATGGTATCGAAAGCCGCTGAGATGTCCAGGAGAACCAACAGGGTCACACTCCCCCTGTCCAGCTCCCTACGGAGGTCATCCATGAAGGCGACCAAAGCTGGTCCTGATTGTTTCCTGTTTGGAATTTCATTCCTAAGCCAAAGAGCCGCCGTTGTCCATAGACACCTCCAAGGTCGTGTGGCCGGCATGACTGCATGGAGCTCCCTTACCTTCCTGCCAGAGCAGTACCTATTGATCTACTCACATTTTCATGTTTTCGAACTGCTAGGTTAGCAGGAGCTGGGGCTAACAGCGGGAGCTCACACCGTTCCCCGGATTCGAACTTGAGATCAGCAAGTTCAGCAGCTCAGCGGTTTAACCCACCACATGACTATATCTCTTCCCCACTTTGTGGCCCACTTTGAATGCTCTGTTTCTATTTCAGCCTGCACCCGGGAGATCTCTATCCGTACACAAGGAAGCCTCTCTTTATCATCGTGGACTCCTCCAATAGCGTCGCCTACAAGGTAAGGCCTGCGTTTTGGGGGAAAAATCATTCTAGAGCAGTGGTTTATGTATTTATTTATTTACAGTATTTATATTCCACCCTTCTCACCCTGCAGGGGACTCAGGGCAGATTACAATGTACATATACATGGCAAACATTCAATGCCATAGACACACAACATATCTAGACAGTCAGCCAGAGGCTATTTAACATTCCAGCTTTTTCATGAGGGTTTTCAGGCCACCAGGGGGAGCTGTGACACTGATGAAGTACTTCCTCATTCTTTGCATGCTTGCTGGAGATTTTTATGGCGTCGTAAATTAGTTAAATTACTATTTTTTATTTTTTATTTATTCTCACCCCTAGGGGGACTCAAAGCGGTTTTAGTTTCCCCATATACGTGGTACCTAAATTTCCTACTTGACAGATGCAACTGTCTTTCGGGCTGCAAAGGTCGACAGCAAGCTACACAAATCGGTTGGAAGCTTACTCCGACCCAGGCTGGCTTCGAACTCATGACATTTTGGTCAGTAGTGATCTTAAAGCAGTTGACTCCCAGCCAGCTGCGCCACAGTCCCGGTACCGTTCCCAGCTTGTGGTCCGTGGTCCGCAAGAACGAAAGTATGGTCCACGGCCTCACCATTACTACACCGTCGCCTCGAAACCACACGCCAACGAGAGCGACTGGTCTTGGGAAACCCTCTTATAGTGTGTTGGACAGGGTTGCACTCCCCCTGAAGTCACAAGTCCGCAGTCTGGGTGTCCTCCTGGACTCATCACTTACGCTTGAGGCTCAGGCGTCGGTGGTGGCCGGGAGGGCCTTCGCACAATTAAGACTCGTGTGTCTGTCTATATATGTTGTGTGTCTATGGCATTGAATGTTTGTCATGTATATGTGCATTGTGATTCACTCTGAGTCCCCTGTGGGGTGAGAAGGGCTGAATGTAAACACTGTAAATAAAAATAATAATAAATAATATTCCCCCAGGCAGGAAGCAGCCAGACTTCGAAGCTGCTAGGCTATTGAATGCTAATGAATGTGGCCATGTGCAACATTCACACTTGCCCCAAGAAGACAAGAGTTCTTTCTCGCACCCTGGACATCATTCTACAGATATATAAACCCCATTTGCCTAGTTTCCAACAGACCTCATAACCTCTGAGGATGCCTACCATAGATGTGGGTGAAACATCAGGAGCGAATGCTTTTGGAATATATCCATACAGTCCGGAAAACTCAAAGCAACTCATTCGCCATTAATGCTCTGCTGTTGCTAATTCTAGCTCTTTTGGCAAGTTCTTTTGGTTCTCCTTCCCGCAGAGAACGCTGGATATTTTTAAACCATTTATCCGAGAGCTTGGACCTCATAAATCCGCCCGAGTGGTGGTGTCATAGCGCACAGCTTTGTGCTCAATCGGCTCTCCGGCCCGGAAGGGGAGGGAGTGGTGCCGGGAGTGAATATTCCTCTGATTAAACCCAGCTGGTCTTTAATATGTTTAACAAGCTTAGTTGGAATTAGCTTAATGAATCCTGGGATTGGCACATTTGGATGGGAACGGCGATCTTGCGCCCAGCCTTCTGGATCCAAACCAGAGCAAAGCGACAACGTGGTTTTACACCTCCGCTCTCCTTTTTCGTCCCCCAGACGTCCGTCCGCTTTGGAGATCTCGCTTCCACTAGGCTAAGAAGTGGGGTGACAATTGGTGGCACGTGGTAGATCAGTGTTTCTCAACCTTCCTAATGCTGTATTGTATTGTTTATTTTGCTTATTGTTTGTTGTTTTATTGATGTGTTGTTGGGCTTGGCCTCATGTAAGCTGCTCCGAGTCCCTTGGGGAGATGGTGGCGGGGTATAAATAAAGTATTATTATTATTATTATTATTATTAATAATAATAATAATAATAATAATAATACAGTTGTGGTGACCCCCAACCATAACATTATTTTCGTTGCTACTTCATAACTCCAATTTTTGCTCCTGTTATGACTTGTAATGGACATATTTTCATTCATTGGGCCAAATTTGGCACAAATACCCAATACGCCCAAATTAGGATACTGGTGGGGTTAGGGGGGATTGATTTTATCATTTGGGAGTTGTAGATGCTGGGATATATAGTTCACCTACAATCAAAGAGCATTCTGAACACCACCAATAATGGAATTGAACCAATGTTGGCACATAGAACTTCCATAAACAACAGAAAATAGTGGAAGGGTGTACTGGGCATTGATCTTCAGTTTGGGAGTTGTAGTTCACCTACCTCCAGAGAGCTATGTAGACCCAAACAATGATGGATCTCGAACAAAATTGGCATGAATACTCCATACGCTCAAATGTGGAGTTTGGGGAAGACAGACCTTGACATTTGGGAGTTGTAGTTGCTGGGATTTATAGTTCACCTACAATCAAAGAGCATTCTGAACTCCACCAATGGTGGAATAGAACCAATGTTGGCACACAGAACTTCCACGAACAATAGAAAATAGTGGAAGGGTGTGCTGGGCATTAACCTTGAGTTTGGGAGTTGTAGTTCATACATCCAGAGAGCACTGTGGACTCAAACAATGATGGATCTGGACCAAACTTGGCATGAATACTCAATATGCCCAAATGTGAACACTGGTGGAGTTTGGGGAAATAGACCTTGACATTTGGGAGTTGTAGTTGCTGGGATTTATAGTTCACCTACAATCAAAGAGCATCCTGAACCCAACCAATGATAGAATTGGGCCAAACTTCCCACACAGAACCCCCATTCCTTGAAGGTTCTCGCTGGCGTGAACCTCCATGTCTAAGCCAAAGAGCCAGCGTTATCCGTAGACACCTCCAAGGTCATGTGGCCAGTGTGTATATATTGGTCTTTTCTGCATGAAACAAACACAACTCCAGTTACATAAAGGTAAAGGTCTCCCCTTGACATTAAGTCTAGTCATGTCTGATTCTGGGGGTCGGTGCTCATCTCCATTTCTAAGCTGAAGAGCTGGCGTTGTCCATAGACACCTCCAAGGACATGTGGCCAGCACGACTGCATGGCACACCATTACCTTCCTGCCAAAGCGGTACCAATTGATCTGCTCACATTTGCATGTTTTTGAACTGGTAGGTTGGCTGAAGCTGGGGCTAAGAGCGGGAGCTGCAAAAAACACTTTCCTATGTACTCAGGAATATGGAGATGTCAATGTTTAAAGATCCGGCACTGTGAAATAAGGAATGGAATTCAGACATAACTATTTAATTCCATGTTTTCCAGAAGGCTAGATGTGCCGAAGACTACTCTTTCTATCTATCTCTCCTTACTTTCTCTTTCTATTGTTCTCTTCCAGAACTTCACAAACCTATTTGGACAACCGCTGGTGTGCCTCCTGTCTCCCACCACCTACCCAAAAGCGTTGCAAGGTAGGAGCCGTTTTCTCTCTTACGGGATTTTCGCCCTGCGTTAAGGCGTCCGCTGTCCACCTTTTTCTTCCCTTCCCTCCCTTCATACTCTACCCTCTCCCTTTTCGTTTCTCTTCTTTCTTTCCTTCCTGCCCTCCTTTTTCTTTCTTACCTCTCTCTCCATCCCTTCTCCTTTCCTTTCTCTCCTTTTCCTCTCTTACCTTCCTTCCGTCCTTTTTTCTTCCCCCCCTTCCTCAAGCCCTCCTTTTCCTTCTTTTCTTTTCCTCCTTCTTTCTTGCTTTCCTTCCCTCCTTTTTCATTCTTACCCCTCCCTCCAGGTCTTCTTTCTCCTTTTCTTTCTCTCTTTTTCCTCTCTCTTACCTTCCATCCCTTCTTTTTTCTTCCCCTCTTCCTCAAGTCCTTTTCCCCTCTCTTCTTTTCCTCCTTTCATCCTTCCCTCTTTTTTCTTTCTTACCCCTCCCTCCATGCCTTCTTTCTCCTTTTCTTACTCTCTTTTTCCTCTTTCTTTCATTCCTTCCCTCCTTTTTTCTTTTCCCTCCCTCAAGTCCTCCCTTGCTCTTTCTTCTTTTCCTCCTTTCATGCCTTCCTTCCCTCCTTTTTCTTTCTTACCCCTTTCTCCATGCCTTTCTTCTCCTTTCCTCTTTCTCCTTTTCATCTCTCTTACCTTCCTTCCTTCCTTCCTTCCTTCCTTCCTTCCTTTTTTCTTTCTCCATTCTCAAGCCCTCCCATTCATTTCCTTCCCTCCTTTTTCTTTCTTGCCCCTCCCTCCAGTCCTTTTTCTCTTTCTCTCTTTTTCCTCTCTCTTACCTTCCTTCCCTCCTTTTTTCTTTCCCCTCCCTCAAGCCCTCCCTTTCCTTCTTTTCTTTTCCTCCTTCTTTCTGGCCTTCCTTCCCTCCTTTTTCTTTCTTATCCCTCCCTCCATGTCTTTCTTCTCCTTTCCATTCCCTCCTTTGCCTCTCTCTTACCTTCCTTCCCTCCTTTTTTCTTTCCCCTCCCTTAGCCCTTCCATTATCTCCCTTCCTTCCCTCCTTTTTCTTTCTTTCATCTCTCTCCATGCCTTCCTTCTTCTTTCCTTTCCCTCCTTCTCCTCTGTCTTACCTTCCTTCCTTCCTTCCTTTTTTCTTTCCCCTCCCTTACGCCCTCTCATTCCCTCCCTTCCCTTCCTTCCCTCCTTTTTCTTTCTTACCTCTCTATCCATATCTTTCTTCTTCTTTCCTTTCTCTCCTCCTCTGTCTTACCTTCCTTCCCTCCTTTTTTTTCTTTCCCCTCCCTCAAGCTTTCCTTTTCTCTCTTCTTCCTTCCACCCTCCCTCAAGCCTACTGGAGCACCTTTTTGGAAGGATTAAAACGAGCAAGATGGCTAAGTATTATCAAGAATAATGTGATACAATACAGCAGGTCCACTGGCCCAATAGAGGTGTTGAATTGCAAGTCCCATCAGTCGTATTCGTAGTGGAGATTGTCGGGAGTTACAATTCAGCAAAGTTTGAAGGATTCACTTGCCCACTGTAATTGGAGAGCATTAAAATTAAAATGGTTTGAACAGCCAGATTAAAAAGATGGTCCCAAAGCTAGAGGGTTACCGCTAGAGGCAACTGTTTCTCTTTCTTCATATTTTCTGTCTCATACGCTAAGCACTTTTGTGTCGTCTTGGTTTCCAGATCAGTCGCAGCGAGGCAGCCTCTTCACCTTCTTCCTCAACAACCCTCTAATGGCATTCCTGTTTGTCTCCGGATTATCAAGCATGCGCAAAGGACTTTGGGACAAATGTCACGATTACGTTCGCAAAATCAACCGGGACATTGCGCAGTTGCTCACTCATTCCCGTTCCATAGGTATGCTTTTCTCAAACGAACCAAAACAACAACACAACAATTTATTATGGTTCATAGACCCATCAGTACAAAAGAACAGGCATTTATAAGTTCTCCCATCTCAGGAGAAGTTCATTATGCAAGAAACATGTACGTGATTTTAGATATAAATGCTGGCTACAGTAGAACGTATTCTATTGTATCTGCTTCATTTCCTTCACAGGGGCGTAGTCTTTGGGAGTAAGGGATTTTGGGAAATATGTTTGGTCACGTCTTTGTAAAGAGTCTGCAATATTTAATCACAGTAGTCTCTTTTTAGATATTCACATGTCTTAAAAGGCTTTCTATAATGTAAATTTAACTATCTGAGGGAGTATGATGAGTTTGAGCAAGCTCTGAGCTCTCCCGGGGCAATATCTCGCAACTTTTGCTTCAGGGATTCTTGTGCCATTTTAAATACCAGATGGAGCAAGAGGGGAGCAGGTAACCCAGATGAGGCCTTGCTCAAATGAACCAAAACAGACAAAAGGGAAATGTATTTGGTCATCAAAGTACGATATAAGGTGGAGCATCCTTTCTCTGGACTTCCAAAATACTCCCAAACTGTCTGGATGGATTCCTGAGACAGTGACATCTATGCATTGTTGTTGTTAGATGGCTGAGACAGTGACATCTGTGCATTGTTGTTGCTGTTATGGTTGGATGGCTGAGACATTGACATCTATGCATTGTTGTTGTTGGATGGCTGAGACAGTGACATCTGTGCATTGTTATTGTTATTGTTGGATGGTAGAGACAGTAACATCTGCGTATTGTTGTTGCTGTTATTGTTGGATGGCCGAGACAGTGACATCTGTTCATTGTTGTTGTTGTTGGATGGCTGAGACAATGACATCTGTGCATTGTTGTTGTTGTTGTTGGATGGCTGAGACAGTGACATCTGTGCATTGTTATTATTATTATTGTTGTTGTTGTTGTTATTTGAAACACAAGATGAGTCCACAACAGACAAGATCACTCTGCTGGCTGTTGTAATGGATCACACATCGGACATTTCCCAAGTGTCTAGGACTGTGTGATGTATCGGCGAATACTGTGTGAAGATCCCAGTAAGGTAGCCTTCTGCAGCTGGCAGATGGTAATTTTGTCAGTGCTGATTGTGTTTAAGTGCAGGCCAAGGTCTTGAGGCACTGCACCCAATGTGCTGATCACCACTGGGACCACCTTTACTGGCTTGTGCCACAGTCTTTGCATCATCATCATCATCATCATTATTATTATTATTATTATTATTATTATTATTATTACCTCGCCTTTCTCCCTATTCGTGCAGATCCCAGTAAGGTGGCCTTTTGCAGCTGGCAGATGATAATTTTGTCAGCGCCGATTGTGTTTAAGTGTGCCGATCACCACCGGGACCACCTTGACTGGCTTGTGCCACAGTCTTTGCAGTTCGATCTTTAAGTCCTCATATTATATCGTGTCAGCTTTTCCAGTGGTTTCTCTTCAGTTATTATTATTATTATCTTGCCTTTCTCCCCATAGGGACCCAAGGCAGCTAACAATAACATGACACAACCCAATAGAATATAAAAACACAGCAAATACAAAAATGAAAAAAATGATTAAATACTTTTGCCCAAGCATTCGGATATGGATACATACGCAGAAATATTTCTAGGAATTTCCAAGCAACAAAACCTCCCAAATATTACAAAAATGGACCTTCTTCCTCTCTACAGATCAGGCATTTCTCCAGTTTTTTGGGGATGAATTCCTTCGCTTGCTCCTAACAAGATTCATCTTCTGCTCAGCCACTTTGAGGATGCACAAACTCTTTCGGGTATGTCAGCACGCAATCCTTTTCTTCCCTTCCAAAAAAGAATAATTTGCTGGAACTTTGGGGAGTTGTGAGGTCTGTTGGGAAATATACATAATATCAAAATACAAATAAAAACATTAAATACAATATAAAACCACAACAGAGATAATAAGCAACAGCCAGGAGACAGGTGTTTTTAAGGTCTCTTCCTCAGTCCTCTTTCTCCTCTTAGCTGGCTTGGGAGGGGAGGGGGGAGTAGCAGCAGGATTTCCTTCTTCTCCTTCTGAGGTGGCAGGCAGATGGAGTAAGCAACAGCCAGGAGACAGGTGTTTTTAAAGTCTCTTCCTCAGTCCCCTTCTTCCTCTTAGCTGGCTTGGGAGGGGGAGAGTAGCAGCAGGATTTCCTCCTTCTCCTCCTGAGGTGGCAGATGTAGTACGCAACAGCCAGGAGACAGGTGTTTTTCAAGTCTCTTCCTCACTCCCCCTCCTCCTCTTAGCTGGCTTGGTGGGGGGAGAGTAGCAGCAGGATTTCCTCCTTCTCCTCCTGAGGTGGCAGGCAGATGTAGTAAGCAACAGCCAGGAGACAGGTGTTTTTAAAGACTCTTCCTTAGTCCCCTTCCTCTTCTTAGCTGGCTTGAGGGGGGGGGGAGAGAGAAGCAGCAGGATTTCCTCCTTCTCCTTCTGAGGTGGCAGGCAGATGTAGTATTGTTGCTGGGGAAAGGGGCTCCCAGCCGATGACCCAGGAGACATGGTGGAAATCTGTCTTTTTGGCTCCCCCTCTTCCTCTGGCATTGAATGGCCTTGCAGCTTCAAAGCCTGGCTGCTTCCTGCCAGGGGAAATCCTTATTTGGGAGGTGTTCGCTGGCCCTGATTGTTTCCTGTCTGGAATTCCCCTGTTTTTGGAGTGTTGCTATTTGTTTACTGTCCTGATTTTAGAGGTTTTTTTTAATACTGGTGGCCATCAATGAATTGTTGATCCATCTTTTCGAGCTCGCTGACTTTATCCCACAATTAAAACACTTTTATTTTTCTTCCTCTCTTCCCTTTTCCGTAGCAGGAAACTAGGAATTATCCGGAATCCTATCCCCAACTGCCAAGGGATGAAACCGTGGAGAATCCGCATCTCCAGAAGCACATTTTGGAGTTGGCTTCCATGTTGGACGTCCGAAACGTATTCCTGGAAACCACGCTCGACGATTATTGAAACCGAAAACGCACCCTGGCTTTCTTAACTGCGTGGGTCTTTTTCCCAGCCACAGAATTTTTGAAATGGTGCCGTTTTTTTTCTAATGTGAAGATCCACAAAAAAAATAAGAGGAAAAAAAAAGAATTTACTTGATTTTTATTTTTGAACTTGCAATTATTTTTTTAACAAAAAAACAAAAAGAAATGGCTGTGGCCGCTCGCAGCCATTCCATTCTGTACGGGGTCAAGTTTTATAAAGGAGTCCTTCTGCGTCTTTTGAAGCAAATTCAGACTGACGAAATCCCCCCCGGGTTTTACATTTTGATTTCGTGGTTGAAGATAGCCATGCGTCACAAGCGATCCTACGTATTTAAATGCCGTCGGTCACTTTGAGCCCTTGTGTGTGTGGAAATACTTTATTTTTGTACAATTTTTAATAACCTGGAAGCAAAAACAGCGCGGGGGGAAAAAAACAATACCCGCGAAGAAAACCCTCCTCTCCCCAAAGATTCTGGATCCGAAATGTGAACGGTTGGGACCACACGGCGCAAAAGCAGCGATAGCAATAAAAGAGCCTCTCACGACAATACACTTGGCTAATTCAAGAAGGAGGTTGGCTCGTTTCAAGGGGGTGACAGAAAATGTAATATTTCCTGTAAATGCTTCATTGAGGTGTAAATCTACATTGCATGTTTGGCTAAGAATGCAGGACTTCAATCATTCCTTAGCCTGAAAAAATAGGCTTACGGCATCAAGAAACTGGCCCTGTATCTTGTCCGGACCATCCTCCTTCTCCAAGAAGAACTCAAAACCTGACGTTCATCTTCCCCAAGGAGAACCGACAACCTGACAATCTTCCTTCTCCAAGAAGAACATACAACCTGACGTCCACCTTCCCTAAGAAGAACCTACAATCTTCCCTCCTTCTCCAAGAAGAACCTAGAACATGACTGCCCTGCTTCCCCAAGAAGAACCTAAAACCTAACCCTCCTTCTTCAAAAAAAGAACTTCTGTGACCACTCTTCTTCAAGAAGAACCTACAATCTGATGTCTATCTTCTCCAAGAAGAACGTACAACCTGACATCCATCTTCCCTAAGAAGAACTTACAATCTGACTATCCTCCTTCTCCAAGAAGAACCTAGAACATGACTGCCCTGCTTTCCTAAGACGAACCTAAAACCTAACCCTCCTTCCTCAAAAAGAACTTACGTGACCACTCTTCTTCAAGAAGAACCTACAATCTGATGTCTATCTTTCCCAAGAAGAACCTTAAACCTAACCCTCCTTCCTCAAAAAGAACTTACGTGACCACTCTTCTTCAAGAAGAACCTACAATCTGATGTCTATCTTTCCCAAGAAGAACTTTACACCTAACCCTCTTTCCTCAAAAAGAACTTACGTGACCACTCTTCTGATTCTCCAAGAAGAACCTACAATATGAGTCTATCTTTCCCAAGAAGAACCTTAAACCTAATCCTCCTTCCTCAAAAAGAACTTACGTGACCACTCTTCTCCAAGAAGAACCTAGAAGCTGATGTCTATTCTTCCCAAGAAGAACCTACAATCCGACTGTCCACCTTCTCCAAGAAGAACCTAAAACTTGACCCTCCTTCTCCAAGAATAACCTACAATCTGTCACCCCTCCCTCAATCAAGAAGAACCTCCAATATGATCACTCTTCTCCTTTTCCAAGAAAAGCCTACAATCTAATGTCCATCTTCCACAAGAAGAACCTACAATCTGACCCTCCTCCTTCTCCAAGAAAAATCTTAAACTCGACCATCTTTCTCCAAGAAAAACCTAGAACCTGACCCCTCTTCCTCAAGAAGAACCCACAATAGGACCACTCTTCTCCTTCTCCAATAAGAACCTACAATCTGATGTCTGTCTTCCCAAAGAAGAACCTATAATCTGGCCATCTCCAAAAAGAATCTAAAACTTGACCATCCTTCCCCAAGAAGAACTTACAATCTGACCATCCTCCATCTCCAAGAAGAATCTAAAACTTGACCCTCCTTCTCCAAGAAGAACCTGGAACCTGACCCCCTTCCTCAAGAAGAACCTACAACATGACCACTCTTCTCCTACTCCAAGAACCTACAACCCAACATCCATCTTCTCTAAGAAAAACCTATAGTCTGACCAATCTCCTTCTCCAAGAAGAATCTAAAACTTGATCATCTTCTCCAAGAAAAACCTAGACTTGACTGCCCCCTTTCCCAAGAAGAACCTAGAACCTGACCCTCCTTCCTCAAAAAGAACCCACATTAACACTCGTCTCCTTTTCCAATAAGAACCTACAATCTGATTGTCCTCCTTTCGCAAGAAGAACCTACAACCTGATGGTTCTCCCTCTCTGAGAAGAACCTATAACAGAGGTGTCAAAGTTGTGCCCCCCCCCCCCCCGATGTTTGGCCCTCCAAGCACAGCCAGCTTGTCCAATGGCCTGGAATTCCAGGAGCTGAAGTCCAAAACATCTGACGGCCACATGTTTGACACAACTGGCCTAGAACCTGACCATCCTCCTTCCCCAAGAAGAACCTACAACCTGGCTGCCCTCATTCCCTAAGAAGAACCTACAAGCATATTGTCTTTCATCTCCAAGATTCTAGAAACTGACCATCCTCCATCCCCAAGAAGAACCTACAACCTGACTGCACTCCTTCTCCACGAAGAACCTACAAGCAATTAGTCCTCCACTCCAAGAACCAAGAACCTGACCATCCTCCTTTCCCAAGAAGAACCTACAACCTGACTGCCCTCCTTCTCCAAGAAGAACCTACAAGCAGATAATCCTTCATCTCCAAGAACCAAGAACCTTACCATCCTCCTTTCCCAAGAAGAACCTACAACCTGACTGCCCTCCTTCTCCAAGAAGAACCTACAAGCAGATAATCCTTCATCTCCAAGAACCTAGAACCTGACCATCCTCCTTCCCCAAGAACCTACAACCTGACTGCCCTCCTTCCCCAAGAAAGACGTACAAATGGATCATCCTCCATCTCCAAGAACCTAGAACCTGACCATCCTCCTCCCAAGGAACTACAACTTGATACTCCTCCTCCTTGAAGAAAAACCCACATTTGACAGCCTTTCTTGTCCAATAAGAACCTACAACCTGTCGTCCATCTTTCCCAAGAAGAACCTATTACCTGACCATCCTCCTTCTCCAAGAAGAACCTATCATTCTGGAACCCTTGAAAGAACTCCTTCCTCCTCCACACCAGTCATTCCCCAGCTTTAGCAACCCTCCTGCCCAGGAATGGGGGAATACCAGCCTTTCTCTGTGTACATGCACAACAAGGAGCTGCTTTGAGCTGCCACGTTTGGACTGTGGATCAACCTTTTCATGGCCCTCCTTTAGACTCCAGGAGAGCATTCCTCCCCCCCTTCCTTGTTTCACAATCAATGGCACATATCCACACCTATTGTGTGGTGAACAAAAAAAAAAGATCACTGCCTCATCCCTGTGACTGAGCTACTCAGAATACAAACCTTGTTACAGTTTGGGGAGGGAACTCATCCCTCCCTTCACTGCCTGTTGAACTATGAATCCTTTCTGATTTTAGATAAGAAACAGCAATGGAGACCCTGGCCATTTTGTTGTCATTTCATTGGAGATCTTTGGCCTTCATTCCCTTGCTGGAGCCTCCCAAAACACGGGTGGCAGTGACAAGGACAACTGTGTAAAGTGTGTGGCCTATTGAGAAAGGAAAATAGACTTATAGCATAAAGAGGAGTCGGACGAGAAAGCGAGAGCCAGGCGGCTGTTCTCCAAACTGTCCCCAGCTTTGGAGATCTGTCGCCAAAGCTACATTTAAGCACAACCATCTCGGAAGACCTCAGAGTTCGAATTCCCCACCCTAAGCTGTTTTCAGCAATGAACACAGAACTAATTCCCACCACTAAAGCTTGTTTTATTCACTCCAAGCATTGCAGACCTGGAAAGTGCAGAGTATTTTCTTTTTTTCCCAAAGGAAAAGGCGAAATATGAGGGAAGTTGGCGAAATCGTACCGAAAGATGAAGCGCCTGTCTGTGTTGCGGGTACGGGAACGGAGTCTGCATATTAGCCTTTTGACAAGCACTCCCCCCCCCTTTAGTAGTGAGCGCACTCCGCAATTACAACAATAAGACACATAGAAGGAAAGGGCAATTCTTCAGAATGGAGAGTTTTAGGAAAAGGCGAAATATGAGGGAAGTTGGCGAAATCGTACCGAAAAATGAAGCGCCTTTCTGTGTTGCGGAATATGGGAATGGGGTCTGCATATTAGCCTTTCGACAAGCACTCTTCCCCCCCCCCTTTTAGTAATGAGCGCACTCCGCAATTACAATGATAAGACACATAGAAGGAAAGGGCAATTCTTCAGAATGGAGAGTTGTGAGAAACGGCGAAATATGAGGGAAGTTGGTGAAATCATACCGAAACATGAAGCGCCTTTCTGTGTTGCGGGTACGGGAATGGAGTTTGCATATTAGCCTTTCAACAAGCACTCTTTCCCCCCTTTTAGTAGTGAGCTCACTCCGCAATTACAACGATAAGACAGATCGAAGGAAAGGGCAATTCTTCAGAACGGAGAGTTGTGGGAAAAGGCGAAATATGAGGGAAGTTGGCGAAATTGTACCAAAAGATGAAGCGCCTTTCTGTGTTGCGGGTACGGGAACGGAGTTTGCATATTCAACAAGCACTCTTTCCCCCCTTTTAGTAATGAGCGCACTCCGCAATTACGATGATAAGACATATCGAAGGAACGGAGGGTTGTGGGAGGGACAAGTCTCCTCCTCTTGCAACCTTTGAATGCTTTACGCGAGTCTGTATGGTTCGACGCCGAGAAAACCACTGCCCAAGATGAAGCGTCTTGAGCCGAACGGAGAAGGAGAAGGGCAGTGTTTGGGAATCATCGCAAAGAGGTGCCTTAGGTCGGGCCTGAAGTGCAATGAGGAGATAAAATTTAATCCTCCCTTTCCAGAAGGCAATCAGAAGGACGTTTCGGTGGGTGGGCGACGTTGTTCCTCTCGAGCGAGGTGCGTTTGAATCGGCACTGGTGCATTTCTCTTCTGTGGTGCTTCGTTCTTTTTTAGCCTCCTCCTTTCGCCCGGGGAAAGCCCGGGCGATAAGTGTACTGCGC